AATAGGAGGTGGGATTGTCAGTCTCGCTGTTGGCTTCTGATTCTGGTTCTGGCTCTGTTTCTGCGTCGTCGCCTTTCCGCTTGGACTGATTTTGATTCAGATGCTGCGGCTGCTGTTTCAGTTACTGATTCCGATGCTGATTCGGCCATAAATTCTCGATATTGTTTCGCTTTTGTGTGTTTTAATTTGCGTTTCGCTTTTCGCTTTGCTGCATTTTCATTTGAAATTGGCCATAAAATATGCAAATGGCTGTGTGGTGAGATGTATTATTTTTCCCAGCCACCTCTGGCTCCGTCCTCTCCCTTCTTTTTATCGTTTTGGTCTGCGCTGCAAAAGTGATTTACTTGTGCATAATTGCGCATACGCCGTGTTGTGATGCGGGCAAAAAAAGGCAAATGCTTATGGTATGAATGATGTCCGTGGGAGAACACCAAATAAATAAGTGAAACATATAAATTACAGTGCTTATCAGACAGAAAAACGTTGAGCGAGAGAAATGCAGACTTTTGACAAACATTTTCAATTTAAAAAGTGACAACATAGCTGGCGCCATTGCCATTTTCCACACATGCCACAATTTGCACTTCATTTGCCATTCACTCAGGTCTGTTTGTATGCACAGGAAAAATTATAGTTTGATATCTTATCATATAAAAATTCATAAAAGATAAATTAATATCAATCGAATAATTAAATAAAAAAGAGTTTCTTGATAATCTTTTAATGTAAATATAAGAAATTTTATTTCTAATTGGAACTTAAATAAAAATAGTCTTTTTCATGGATTAAATAAGATCTTAAGTGGTTGTAAGTTTAAGTTTTTTGCATTGAATTTTGTTTAAAGAAAATATAGCCAGGGAGTTGTATAGTTTCTTTCTCAGTGCATGTTTCTCTTCTATCTTCGTGTGAGTATATGCAACTGACACAACCGCGAGCCATGTCTGTTCATTATTTCATTTGTTGTGTTTATCAGGGCATCTAGCATTTATTGCGCCCCCTCCTCATCTCCTGCTCAACCCACACCACCACCTCCCCTTTTGCATTGACCACAAGCAAACCAACTACGTGCTGGCAGCTTGTAACTCATTTGCAAACAGTTACCCACTCCTGACCATTGGAACGCCCCCCATTCCGTTGCAGATACGGGGCCACACCGCAGCCGCCGGATGGAGGCGCCTCTGTAATTATCGCGCTGCTCGACAAACTCATCGAGAACGGGCGCAATTACAGCTACGAGTTGGTCATGTGCCTCAAGATACTGCTGCGCAATGTAACCATGATTGAGATGCCCTTTAAGGTGAGTACAGGGGTGGGGGTTGGGGGGAAATAATGGTTGGATAATAATTAACGTGGCTTAGAAACTAATGAAAGGGTAATATGTTGAGTGGGGTTGTATGCAGGGTTAGGAAATACGAGAGTAATTTTAAGGCTAACTAAAAGTAAATACTTATTAGTTCAGAACTTTGTTCAGATTTATTAAGAAAGTTATACGAGTAATAAATTTCTTTGATTGAAAGAATGTAAGGATACATGGGTAAAACTAAGAAAGTTGTTCGTAATTTGATCTTTAAGTACGTAAGAAATTCGGTAAATAAATAAATTAGTTTTTAAAATACTAATGGAAGGTTTATTGATTATAACTTAACTTGAATTTAGTTTACCAACATCTTTTTATAATATAATAATTGTTACTTTTAAAATAATTATTAGCCACATCTATTCTCCATCTTTAATTAAACTAATTACTTAATAAAACCCCATTATATCTCTATAGCCCCTTTTGTACGCCGCCAGAAGAGAGATGTTCTTCGAGCGTTACGGCCGCCTGTTGGTGGATAAAATTATTGGCAAGGAACAGGTCTATGGAGTGCCCACTCTGCGCCATTTATGCCGGTAATTATCAACTTTCGACTGAAATTTTCCCAAGGGGACAGAAAGACAGTGACAGCCACCAAAAGGGAAACTCCGGCAGACACTTGACTTTGTGACTAACAATGAGCTGGCCATGTCCATGAATTCGGATGTGGGCATGGCCATGGGAAGAGAGATTAGGTGGCCAGAATGGAGATGGAGTCTGACAGCCATAATAAGTTTCACTTTTTTTATTCAATTACTTTGGCTTAGGTCCGCCACGCCTGCTTAACTTCCTACGGCAGACAATTCCGTGATAAGCCCGAAAAATGAAATAAGCATAAGACAGGAGCCCAGCTGGCAAAGTGACAAACTGACTGACTGACTGGCAGTTTGACAAATGTCCACAGAGAGAAATTATTGAGAAAATAATCATTTACTCAAGCTTAATAATATTTACATTAAATAGGTGAATTTTTGTAAGGGAAATGTTTGGAATAGTGCTCAAATTTTCATGGCTTTTTGGGTTCAATATATATTTGAAATAAGCATAGCTTTGAATATTTTATGTAATTTAATTTAAGCCAAATAAGTTGCAAGTCTTTATAGAAAAAGTTTCTCAAGACTCTGAACTTTGTCTGTTGATTAATTTTTTGCTCAGTGCCTGACCCAGAACCTTAAGTTGACAAGTTTGCTCCGTCCGGGCGCCTTTGTCATGTGGCTTAATGCAAGTTTTCCTTTCTTTTCATGTATTGTGTCAAAGTCGGGGTCGAAACTTTGCCGCTCGCTTCACCGACCAGGCCGCAATATATAGTCAAATGCCAGTCGGGGCAACTTAATGAATTAATTCGATGCGAATTTCTTTGCCACTTTGATCGGTGTGTTTAGTGGAGAACTTTTTGCCCACCGGTCTGTGTTTTAATTCGATAAGTTGATGTCTGGCCTGTGATGCGGTTCATATGGGACCTGTATGTTTGGGCCCAGGCTTCCATATAATATATATAAATGAGCTATATATTTGTGGAGTCCTTGGTGCGGGCACACAGATACGAGACGGAGAACGGAAACGAGATCGAGTACGAGTATATTTGCCTGCGTTTGCTCACGTGTCACAAAAACGTCCATTGACTTTGGCTCTCGTTTCAGCTGAAGCTCTGGCCAGCTTGTTTGCCAGTTTGTTTTTCTTTGGCCAATGTTTGCGCTGCGGCAATTCGCGCTCTTGGCCTGCATTTGTAAACAGTAAAGATGGGCCAAGGAGTCCCAGGAAATGATTGAATATATATATAAAGTATATATATATTTTTAGCAAAAGATATTAATTAGAATTTAGTTCTTTATAATTTTCCAATAACCCAGAAATTAGTATTTTAGTTTGACTTTCAGGGATAATTTATTTTAGTAAAAAAACTCCATATCCATTCCGCAATCTCCACTGTACTTGTAATTGAGTTGGCGTCCTCTTGTCGAGGCTTCAAGTATACCATCTAGTGTACAAAGATTTTTGTTTTTTTATTCGATTTATATATATGGACTGTGGCAGTTTCTCTTGTTTTTTCTTGCTGGCCACTTTGTGATTTCAATTTATGCAGAATGCATGCAAAACGCAGTACGCATTGACCCCAAAAAAAAAAACTTGACGATTTCCTTGTCATAAGCGAGGACATTGCGCATACGCCCCGTCATCTACATTTCCGGAACGGCGCCCACAAGTAGGCAAGGCTTTTTCGGTCCTCTTTTTAAGGCTGCGCCCCCTTGCCCCTCTTCCTCCATTTTTCCCCTCGGGCAGTGTCAGCTTGCTTTATTGATTGGTCGAATTTGTCGGCGGCAACGGCGGTGGCCATAAAAAAGCCAAAATATTGGCCGAACACAGAAAGTTGACGGGTGAAATTAACATGAACATAAAGCTCCGGGACTAGGGAGTTGCAAGGATCTCGCCCGGCAGCCGATTAGCATGTTGTTAAGCTGCCCCAGCGTTTTATGATGCCAATTTGGGCAACACTTCCCGAGGAATTTCGGACAACTTTCCGCCGGTGCTGTCGTTGAGCTATCAGGGCCACTTTAGAGCAGGCTTCCCCGCTCTCTGGTAACTTTCCTGAAAGCTTTCACTGCGCCGACTAAGTGCCGGGACAGAAAAAGAATCCACTACCAATATCCGCTACTTTAACTTCTTCCCTTAGTTGGCAGCAGCATCGCAGCAACTTTAGTGAAATAAAGTTCCAGTCCGTCTTTTTTCGCTTACGCTTTCTTTTTTTTTGCTGCTGCTGCTGCCCTTTCACTCACGAGCAAAGTTTTAAGCACATGAAGTTTGTTTGCCGAGCGTGGATTCTTTGTTCGGCGCATGAGCTTATTGTGAGAAACTTAAATTAATTTATGAAATATCCCGCTGAGATTGACAGGACTTGTGCCGAAAGGCGAGCAAGAATACGAGCGCTCAAAGGGCTTGAGTAGCTCGAAAAAATTGCATGGCAGGAAACTATTTTTCAATGGCAGTTTTTAAGTGTTGTTAAGTTGTAAGATTATAGATCATTTAATTAACTTGGAAATCCTTGACTAGAACAAAATTAAATTGTTTTTCTAAGCTAACTAGCTTTCAATATGTTATATTTGTATTTTCTTTATTAAAATTAAAATTAAAATTAAAATCTGAATTCCCACTTACAGCTGCACCATTCGCGATATCCTCCGGCAACACCATCAACTCCCCAACGGCATTGACACCTTGAGGCTGCCAAAGCGCCTGCAGCGCTACATCGACCTGACTGAGGAGCTGGAAGGACCTGCGGTGGAATCCGAAAAACCGGATGTGCCGAAACCCGCCTCCGCAGCTAGGGCGAAGCTGGGAAGCGATATGCCCCGCTTGGAAACCATCTCAAGTGTCGGCGAGGAGGATGAGAGCGAGGACGAGAGCGAGAATCATGTCCAGCTGCTGGAGGCGGTTACGGATGCGGAAAAGGCCGCCGTGGCCGCATTTGTGGCTACAAGTGATGGAGCCATTACCCCAGAGGCCAAAAAAGCAGCAATGGCCGCCTACATGGCCAACCTGCCGCCAGACTACGATCCCGAATTGCCGCCCGACTTCGATCCCGATTTCCCGCCCCTTTCCAGCTAGCACTGGGTGGGGGTAGCAAAAACCGTAACATAACACTCACCGATAGGTCTCCTCGCTGACATTGATGCGACCAGGCACGCCCGTGGTCTCCGTCCGGCTGGTGAGGTTGACCGTATTTCCGAAGAGACAGTAGCGCGGCACGCGGTTACCAATCACGCCCGTGACCACCTCGCCAGAGTGGATGCCTATGGTGATTTGCTGAAAAAAAAAAATTTTAAAAAGACCTTTTAAATATGGAGTTTGTAAAATGAATTTATCAAAGAATTTATCTAGGAAATAAACAGCAACAGCTGCATTTATATTCGGAATTCCAGAACTATTTAAAAAAAATATTGTAAAAACCATTAAACAACATTTTGAAAATATTTTATATTTAATAAAATTCTTGAAAATCAATTATAAGACTGTAAAAACGTAAAATTGAGCTAATTGGACATTAAGATAAACTAAAGTATCCACGAAGTTGCTTATAGAAAAGTTCTTGGCAGAGGAAACTTTTAAATTCTTTCCAGCAATTGTTAGTCAGAAAACTTTAGCTTGAATAATAATAAAGTCAATTAAAGTATATTAATTGTACACTTAAAAGTTGTTTCAATATTTTTCAACAGAAAAGAAAAAGAATTGAAATTTTAAATGATACATTTTTAAGCAAACACAACTTATCTAAGCTATAAAACTCAGCCGGCTTCAGCTAAATGTATAATCCACATTTTGAAGAGAATTTATCTGGAAAATAAAAGGCTGGCTGGCAAAGATCGTGGCAAGTGGAAAGGGCACTTCATTGCGCTAATAAACTTTCGCCGGCAAGTCCCATCATCAACACCCGAAAAGTTAGCAAACCGCAACGGAATGTAGCTGGCACAGCCAAGCGAAAGTTGCCACAATTACTTTCCAAAAACTTGCAGTAGCAGTGGCAGGAAAAAGTTTTCTTTAATTAAATTTAAAACGAAATGAGCAAAAAACGCAACCCCTTACCCCCTGAAAGTCCTCGTTAGTAGTAGGTGACGATGCCTCGGGTCAAAATTAAAAGCAGGAATCGGGTAAAAATGCAGAGTCCTGGGAATATGTGTAAATGGGTGAAGTGCAAAGATAAAGCCGAAGGACGAAAGTTGTAATTACCAGGAAAACATTGCATAAAACTAATTGCCAAGGCAGCAGCACTCAGCGATAAGGGAGAAATGAGCCAAACTTCCAACATTCAGAGACCGAAAATGCAGGAAAAATTCCACTGAACTTCAACTGCAAACTAAATCAAATCAAATCAGAGCAGTGCAATGCTGATGAATGATGCAGCAGAGAGAGCTGCAAACAAAAGTCAATCACTTTTTTCCCTCTGATTAAATAATGAAGAAAGCAACTTTTTAGCAACACACTAGCAGAGCTCAAAAAGGTGAACCGAAATCCTGGAAAAAGAGAGAAAGAATTTTTGTTTCTAAATTTCCGTTTAACCATATAGTTTTACTACTTCCCTTTGATATTTATTTTCTGAAAAATGCATTTAGACCTGCAGAAACTTTTTCAGCAGAAAATCCTAATACAATTTGACTACATTTTATATATTTTTCAACATGCTCTTTTAGCTCAGTCTGTGTAGAAATTAGTTTTCCTGGCTACAGACCTTTGCTGCCTAAATTGAAAGTACTTTCTCAATTAAGAGAAATGCCTGACCAACCTATGAACTCGAGGCAAAAGTCAACAGTGTTGCTTTTATTGCCTTTTTCTTATTACGTATAAAAGAAAAGTTGCAACTTTTCAGCAGAATAACAGCACAAATGAAGAATAATCAAGAGCCACATGCTTTCTAATTTCTGGAAAATTTTGCAGTTTATTTTTACAGTTCGGTCAAGATGTATACGGCAGTTGGGAGAATGATTTTCGTTGGTCCTGTCCTGGCACCCGAGTGTATAAAATACATAGTAACTGCAGAAAGTTTTTGCTGAAAAACCGAATCAATATTTATGGACTGCAAGCACAGGAAGTAGCTAACAAAGCAAAGCAGCGGGCAAACAACGTCGACGATGAGGAAAAAGAAAAGCGGAAAGGCCAAAGCCAAAGTTTTTGCATGAAGAAAAACATCGGTATAATTGGCTTCATAAATGGAGGGGGGGTTTGGTGCCTGCAGGATGGCAGGATGACTCGCTGCTGCTGCTTTTTATCAGGACCTAATGAAGCGCAAAATGACGCCAGTGGCGGCAAAGGGAAAGGGACATGGGCGAGGGCAGTGCAACAGGCTCTGATGGCGCGTCCCAGTTTTTGCCTGCAACTCCCATCCTCGCAGCGTTCGTTAATTGCATTTGGAGCGATCTATCAAACGTTGACTCGCCTCGTTGGCAGCGGTTGTCGGGGTTCCCCCCTTTTTTTTGTGCGTGTGTGTGCAGCCTGAACGGCTTTCGTCTACATTACCAAAAGCAATCAGTCAAATATGAAATACTGACAACCGCAAAAACTTGACTGCAGTTGTGGCAAGATGGCCAAGAAGGATGTAGAGAGAGCAACCGGAGGCGGAGGCAGATGGATGATCCTCGCAAAAAAAAAAAAAAAAAGGTAAAAGGAGAAGAGCTGCTTGGAGCTACAGGCAAGACGATAAGGTAATGGAATTTCAGCTAACAGAAAAACAACAACTCTGACAATAAAGCCAAGTGACACGAGTCCTGGCCAGAGTTCTCCGCTTGTGTGTAGTTATGGGACACGCACTCAAATTCTAGGAAATGTATACAAGAGGGTGGATCTTTGCGTTTATAATTGAATTTCTTCTTTAAAAAATTTGGTATTAAAGAAAATTCTGTCTTAATATTTCGTAACCTGTTTCTAGGCTAAAGTTGAATGCTGTTTCATTTTATTTTGATTTAGAATTATCATAATGAAGACTTAACTTTAATATTATAATAAATTTAGATTTAGATTCCCCTTGAATATAACTCAGTTTTCGGCCACATCCCAAATAGAACCACCCTAATATGCATACAGATGCCAAGACATGTGCAAAAAGTGACTGACAAGCCACAAGCATTGTCCACACGTACAATGCTGTAATTGTGAAGGATGCCATCAAGTGGGGCATCCGCATCCTCGTCCTCGTCCTCAGCCTCTTCGTTCGTCTTCGTCCTCGTCCTCGGCCACATCCTCGTCCTCGCCCCCCTTGCCGTGGATAAACCACTGCCTTGTCAAACCCCCCTTTGAGCCCCTATCTGTGGCCCTGCATGTGTGCAGTGTATTTTAAGCTTGAGCACTCAAAGCAAAAGTGTTTAAGCCAAAAAAAAAAAAAAAAAAAAAAAAAAATACAAAAACAAAAAAAAAAATGAAAGATAGTGGCAGTAGCAGGCAGGCGGTTGGCTGAGCCTCCTAGTTGTCCTAGTCGTCCTCAGTCTCATCCTACCGCCCATCCTTGCCGTCTCAACGTCTCTGGTGACAGTTGACGGTCAAGTGGCTACTGGCAAGGTTCCGAGACCCTGGACCATGGGACGATGGCATGTCCTTTGACATTGTGTGTCATCAATTTTGAATTAATTTTAGCAATTTTCGCAGTTTTCGAACCCAAACTTTTCGCACAAACTTTGTGAGATGAACTTTTTTCTCTCGCACTGTTGCTGCTCCGAGTTGTTAATATTTTACGTGCACTTGCCACTCAATCCGGCTGTTGCGGAGCTTTAAGATGGGGGTTAAGGATGGATCGGGGTGCCAGACATTGAAATTTATGCGCCATTGAGTGTTGCTGTTGCTCAAAATGGCGAATTGCGAACAGCGAATGGCGAATAGCGCATTCAGCAGCAAATTTCAAGAGAATGCTCGAGTTGCATGCTCACACGAACGAACACAAGGGGACGAACGGGACAATTTTCCAACTACTTTCAATGCGCACAATTAGAGTGACGGCCCCCTGGAAAAGCCCCATTTCCCGGACCCTCAAAAGAGCCAACATTTTCTGTCCCCCTCCGCGGGCTCTCGAGCAACTTGAGCATAAGTTGTTAGTTTGTGAATGCATTTTTTGCTTTGTTCGACAAAAACTCAGCATAAATGTGCCACAAAAAGAGCCATGCTAAATATGATAAAAAATAAATAAATAAATACGGGGAATTTAAAAGGAAATGCGTTTATATTGTTCACAAAAAACAATGTTATCACACACCTCTTGACTTGATCCATGCCCCCGTATATCTTTCGCTATCCCCATTTAACCCGATAATTTATGAATTATTTCTCAACTCACCACCGGATTTGAGCCCATTTTAACGTTCTTGGCCATGTCCATCATGTCCAGGGCCACACGCGCCATGCACTTGGCGTGATCCTCGCAGTGGTCAGGCAGCCCGGATACGGCCATGTACTTATCGCCAACGGTTTCCACCTGAAAGGATGAAAAGGACATGCCAATGAGTTCGTGCCATCGAGGGAAAATGGAGAGGTGACCCGAAAAAGGGGGCGAAACTGCATCGTTTTTGTGGCTGGGGTAAAAAGTGTAATTAAGTGGCCATAGCCATAGCTATAGAGCCATGGCATAGCCATCAGGCGACGTGCATTTGAACTCTGACCCCACCTTGTACACGTTCAGGTTACGCTTGGAGTCGGTTAGAGCGTCGAAGACCGTGTAGAGCTCGTTGAGCATTTTCACGATTTTCATGGCCCCATCGGGATCCGTGTTGGCCGCACAGTATTGGCCAAAGCCCACGATGCCGGAGAACATCAGCGTCACGGAGTCGTAGCTGTCGAATAGAAATGGAAAAAATACAAGTATTTGCCATAAATAAACAGGAGAAAATATATAGTAAATTGATTGCATTTTCTGCCAGCATATAGAGAAGCAATAAACAGAGAAAATAAAGGTTTTGTTAATTTTAAAAGGAATTTATTTCAGGTTTCCTTTGAAATATATTTCGATGTCTTGGTCATAATAAATTTAAACATTGAATAAAATATACTTAAAACATTAATATTTTATATTTTTATATTTTTTCTTCTCTGTACACTTTTCCCATTGGAAAACGAAACGGAAATTGACGTTTTCTTACCGTTTTGGCGGCACTGGACGCTGATGTCGTAACTCATTGGCCACCGACTTTGGCAGCACCGAATAGAGCAGCCTGAAAAGAGTGGAAAGCGGAAAAATGGCAGAAAAGAATGCTGGGACATGATAAAGTAATTTCAATTTCGCGCCTGAGAGAATGCCCGGTGTGCCATTAAGGAGTTGGCACACTGTCATTTGTCATTTGTCTTTCGTCGACATTTGCCGTTTGTCGTTTTGTCCTGTGCCATTTTACCTGTCGGTCTTCTGCTTCTCGCTCTCCAGATCGCGGAACGTCTGCTGCAGCTTGTCCGTCAGCATCTCCAGGTTCTTGGTGAGCTTGTACTCCGCCTCAAACTTCTCGGAGAGCAGCACCAGATCCCTGGCGGCGTCATGCAGTGGCACATCCGAGATGTAGAGTCCCTTCCTGCAAAAAAGGAACAGGACACACACATTCCACATTCCGGTGAGTTCAAAGATATAAGGATATAGAAGAATGCGGGATGTGGGTGAACTCAAAGGTGGTCTTTAAGGGGTTTGTTGGGAGTCTAGAGCCCCCTTAAGAATCATATTGCTCAAGTCTAGTCTATAAAATTATTTTTAAATATATTTTTTGGTCTCTTAAAATCAAAGGAAAATATCAAATGAAATGTTTAAGAAAAGAATAAAAAGAACTAATCACAAAAATTTCAATTTAAATATTTTAAAGTACTTCTTGAATCCCCACTGATAATTTTCCTTGTGTCCGCCACTGACTGAAGCAAAGGAAAAATGACACGCATTTTGTTTTACTTAAGTCTTTGGGAAATGGCAAGGAAGCAAATAGAAGCACGAGGCAAAATTAAATACTGTAAATCGGTGGGGAGTTGGTGCCTAAAAACACTTTTAATGTCAACCATAAATTCGGCTAGCTGAAGGCGCATTTGTTTCAATTTGACTGCTTGTATAAAAACCCAGAGGTTATGGCTAATGCCACATTTAAGAGCTAATGTCCCATATTAAGGCCTGACCAAAAATTAAACCAGGTAAAGGAAGTATACATTAGTATTTAGCACAACGAATTCTTGCTTAAAATGTAGAAATATTTTTGAATAAATAATAAATAAGCCTGTAAATCTATGAAATCAAGTGTATGACGTATCTTTTTATTAAAAAATAAAGACTATCATTTAAAAATCATTTACATACTTGGTCAGATCGTCCAGATTCATGACACTCGGATAGCACTGAAACAGTATGCGATCCGTTTCCGGAATGTACATCATTTGTCCCTGCAGAGCACACAAAAAGAAACAACAGAAACAGATTATTTTTGTGGGTCGAAGGGTGAAACCATTACAATAAAATTGATTTTTATGCTGTATTTTGCGGCGGGCAGTAAGCACGCATTAAGTTTAATGCCAGCTGACGGCTGTGCGTAAGGGTCCATTTGTTTCTGGGATTTTCATAACCGTTCCGTTCCACACACGCCCCTGGGCCACACTTACCTTCAGTCTCAGAAAGCGCTGCTCGTGTCGGCTGCTCATGGCCCCCTGACGTGTCTGGAGCACATATATGGTGTTTATGTGGGACAGAATGTTCTCAAAGTTCAGTTGCAGGTGCGGCCGGATGGCCTCCACGACCTCTATCAGTGAGCAGTTCTCCTCGGCCACTCTGTGGAGTATACAAAATAAAAATCAAAATATTAGCTAAGCAATAAGGATTTTTAAGCAAATAAATCTATTAGTTAATGAAGGTTTGGCAGACTCACCTGGGAATCACTCGGGATACGGCCTTGCCGGCCTGAACGATTTTCATTTGTCTATCGAACATCAGGTGAAAGGGAAACACCTTGCAGAATGTGGCGGGCGAAATGAGCGGTGCTGTTGGGAAAGGACATACGATTAGCAGGGAAGTTAGCCAGGATAACTTTTTTAGGTTTTGCTTACCTTCGCAGAGGAACTCCATATCATCGGGCACCTCGTCCTTCTTGGCGTCCACCTGCGACTTGGCCGCCACATTGATCTCCCTTATCAGGAACTGGACATGATCGTAGCGCTCGATGTCGTCACTCTTGTTTTTTAGGAGGCGCAGGCACTTCTGCTCCTTGTCCGGATCGCAGTCAAAGCTATCCTGGGCCATCGGGCAGGTGTTCAGAGCTATGGGTGGTTCTTACAAAATAAAAACAATAAATGTACGATTAAATACGATTAAAAACGGTTGAAAAACGTATTTAACAGCTTTATAATTTTGTTAACATATAACCTAAAACAATTGCTTTATTTAAGCTTAAAGTTCATCATTGGAAATATAAATTTTTCTACACAAAATTTATATCTCCTATTTGCTGATTTATAAAATTCCATTAGCTAGTAAAAAAAATCTGCCAATTTTAATGAATTTATTTTCCTGACACTTGAAAAAAACAACAAAATATTTGTACAATACGTTTACCAACGAATAAATAATTCTGTCATAAACTAATTTACTTCCACTTTGCTGTCATTTCAAATGGGCAAACCGAGCCATCAAGTTTTATTAAAATCAGAGCATGTCACAAAGTTTTTTCCGCTTTTAATGTGCTACACAAATAAATGAAAATGCATAAATAATGCCGGGCAGTCAATACAATTTACATTTATTGTCATTCCAGCTCTATGAGTTCTGCAATATGTTAATCGCCACCGCCATTTCTCCCTTCCTATATTTTATGTATTATTCTTTTCTGCTTTTCTGCTGCGGCGGCCATTCCATTTACCTGTCTCGCTGGCTATCTGCTGGCCATCGTTGTTGTTGTTCACGTTGACGCTGCCGTTGTTGGCCAGGCCATTATTGTTGCTGCCGTTGTGATTATTGTTTCGCTCGGCATCCTGCGAAGAAGGTGCCAGGACAACCGTGGCAGCTCCTGTGCCCAGGCCCGTCGCCATCGCCGTTGCATCAGCCTCCAATTGCTGCTGCTCCCGGGCGATGGCCCTTTCCTTCTCGGCCTCGTCGATGGGCTCGCCCTTGCGCTTCACAATGTCGATTTCCACCTCGACGCCATGCAGCTTGGATGCAACGGCCTGTGAGGGAGATATGGTGTCAATGGGTCTCGGATTCACGAAATGGGAGTGGATACCATATATATAGGAAGCAAGCATCCAGAAACACTTTAGTAAATCATATTTGAGCTAAGAGATGATTCTGGTTGAGAAATATAAATCTTTTCTATAAATCACTAAAGATTTTGACTTTGTGATTCTAGGCTCTTCTTTAAATCACAACGAATATTATTTTTTCTGAGTGTACTCTCACCTTGACGATGCCGATGACGATGTGCTCGAGGCCAGGCCGTTCCGAGTAGTAATGCAGCAGGAGTTCGCCATCCTTCTCCGTACACCGGAAGGAAGGAGCCCGCATTCCAGGATATAAGGTGCCCAAGTGGTCATGCAGGGCATCCAGGTTCTGGGTTAATTCAAAGAGAAAAGGTCAGACAAAAAATTAAAATTTAATTTTAAATTTAAAAGAAACGTAAATGCTAATTTCCTTAAAAGAAATTAAACTGATATATGTCAAATATAAACAAGCTTTATCAACTTTAATTCTCTCTGATATTCTCATTTTAATAGATTTTATAATGCGATTTAAATAACTTATATTCATTTCCATAAGCTCCATTCACGTGAAATAATTCTCAAAAGTGTGATAATTGTATTAATTAAATATTTTGTAATTAATTTCTGTGATTTTTACTATCATTGATTTATTTTTGTGATCTTTTTGCTTAAAAACATTGTATAAATTTCCAAAAATATGCAAATAAAAACTCTCTACTTTCTGTAAAACGATGATCCTTAAATTGCTTAACCAAATTGATGACCCTCTACGCGTTGTTAGTTTTTCTCTGTGTGGTTTTTGTTGTTTGTTGATGTTGCGGTGCAGACGAAAAAATTCAATTTCATTTTTCAATATGACAAAGGATTCGAGAGGAGCATTTGCGGTGAAAAATGTGGAAAATTGAAAATAAATCGAATGTGAGTGCAACAAAAGGCGCCAAGGGAGGTGATTTCGGTTGGGTGTCCTGTGAGGACAATCCCTGGCAAAACGGATGCCGGGAAGTGAAGAATGGACCGGGATGGGGCACTGGCTGAGTGGGCGATATGTGTGTGCGCTCAAGCAAAATACTTAATGCTTATCAATGATGGCGATGTGTCGATGTCGATGTCGATGGCTGTGACTGAAACTGCCAAGGGAGCAGCAGGAGCAGCAGCAGGAGCATGAAAAATGACTTCGACGGCAAGTGGCAAATGCAATTGGGCCGCAGATGCATGGGAAATGAGTGTGAAATGGCATTCAATTAAGTAAACTACAGGGCTGTATTGAGTAAATAACACAGTACCTGTAGGAAATCCCTTGGCGTGGCTCCCAGCACTTGAAGGATCTTATCGTAGCCCGAGTCCTGGCAGAACTCGAAGAAGGTCTTGCCGAACAGCTCCAGGATGTCGTCTGCGGGTATATCTGTGTGTTATAGTTAGGAGGAGAAAGAGAGAAAGAAAGATATTAACGAGCTGGTCCTTTAATGGCCAGCACACACGTGAGCAGCTCGTTGTGGTCATAATCTTTTGGCCAAAACATATGCTTTGTAACAGGAACAAAAAAAGGAAGAGAAACCATGAAACATAAAGGAAATATGCACGTAAAAATGGAGAAATTAATAAATATATAAATATAAAATAAATAATACAAAATATATATATGAAACTACTAAAAATATACTTTTGAAAATATAGCTTTATGAAAGAATTGCGTTTAAAATTAAACCCAAAGATAGCTGAATTAATGTTATAAGCTAAATCTTTAATATTATAAAATTACGAAGTGTGCAATTTCATATTTCATTTATTAAATAATATTTTTAGATATTTTTACAGTGTCTGGGAACTAACTACTTACTGAGTATCTCGACAGCTGCTCCAATTAGATTGTATGTTATTTCATCGTCGTAAATTTGTCGCACCAGAAACTGTCCCTCCATGCTGACCATGGCCTTTTTTCTGAATGCCGAGCCAAAAATAAGCAGCCATCAAAATCGAGTCAGGCGAAACCGCAAAATGGAATGAGAGGGAAAGGGGTTTTCCAGCGGGTGGGTTAGGTTCGTTTTGGGGGGTGGTGAGACGATGGGCGTTGGAAAAAAAAGAGAGAGAGAGTGGCAAATACATTAATTTTAATTAAATTGCTTCTGTGCTCGTGAATTTATGAGTGAGTGGCTGGCATTCCTGCTGCCTGCCTGCCAGTCTGTGTGTATTTCGGTGGGGGAATTTGAGCTTTCTGCCACTGGAAGCTGCTGCCCATATGGCGGTCACTTTATATGCTCTTTCATATTTATGTTTTTAATTAAGCAATAAAGACAGAATAAAGCCTCTCAAATGGAAATTTTCGGTTAGACCTTAAAGTAAGGAATGGGTTCTCGGTTTTGCCTTTCTTTTAATTTTGGAGAAGGGAATTTTAAGCTCTTTGGTTCTTTTTTATTCTACGTAGGGGTTGAATAAGATTGAATAGAAATGTGGGTTTGCTATTCAAATTTGTTTTTCGTGGCATTTCTTTTATTATTTAATTTAATGCCATTACATTGTGAGCCCTTTCTCTTACAAAATTCTTACTTTTACTTACACAATTTTTGGTAAACTCTTGAGTAGAAATAATCCAAGTGAATGCCAATAAATTGTGCAAGCAGTTCACAAACTTCCGGTTCAGTTGCTTTGGAGTTTACTTGGCAAAAGCAGTTCATCTTGCACATATGTGCACTTCCTGTTTTTCCTGTTAACATTCTTGCCCCTTTTCTGGTTTCCAATCAAACCCACTACTTCCTGGCCATTAAACTAAAAGGCTTTTCAGCTGAAAAATTCTTCAAGTTCTTACCAAAAGTTAGCAAGGCTTTAAAGTCAAAAAGTTGCCCGCGATTTGCATTGAATAACAATAATAGAGGAAAATGGAAAATGCCTTTGGCTGGCTAGCTCGTTCCTTTCCCTTTTTGCCAACATCGTGCAAATCGACTTTATTATTTAATAGAACTTGTGCCAAGCTGTTACCAAAACAAATTGAATACAACGTGCCGGTAGTGAAAGTATTCCCGAGAAAAAAAGTCTAGAAAAGCGGGAAAAGCGCCAGCGCTGCAGAATTGAACATGAAAATCGAGGTGGCAAGGGGTGGTGGCGAAGCTAGAGAAGGCAAAAAAAAGAAAGTAATAGAAAAGTAGATTTTGTACGTGCGAAAGTTTTTCCATTTTCCCCCACGCAAAACTTCTGATTTGTCGAGTAAGTGGGCGTGGCAACGTGGCATCGCCGGTGAGCAAAACTGAGATGAGACGAAGGTGGCCTGGTATTTCATTATTGCTCATTTCAAATGCGAGCTGCAGCCGAAGGGAAAAACCTTCGCAGATGTTGTAGGATTGCGAAATGTGTCGACAGCTGTCGCTGAAATGTGAGAAATATTTGCACCAGTCGCCTGATTGAGTTGCATTTTATTCCTTTTTTTTTCTCCTATTTAATTTTGCAATTCCTAACACACACTCGGATACGTATTTTATTGTGTGTGTCGAGTTTTAATTTCCTGAACTGGCAGCGGACATTGAATAGGAAACAGGAACACGAAAAGAAGCCAGCAGCATCCTTTCAAGGCGATTTCTGCATATTACATAACGAAATGGAAATTGATTTTCGCCTTGCAATTTATTATTCCATGAAATATGGCGTGTGGTGAGGCTGTGAGAAGCTCCGAAACTCAAGAACAAGATTCATGCCAAGTGCATGCATAAATTTTACGGTGCCGAACGTCTGGCTCCACAGCTCCTTAAAGACCTCAGAATGGCCAGTCAAGTGGAAGTGAAGATTGCAGCTTATTTTACACACAATTTTGGCTCCCTTTAATTGTGGATGGAAGCTTTTAGCCTCACCTACAGACGGTCCATAAATGCTACTATCTGCTCCATCGCCGGGCGATTTAATTTCATAAAGTCAGCACTGCCACAGCAAATGTCTATCATTTTTATTGTGCCGGCAAGGCAACATTTTGCGCTGTAAATTAAATTATCCCGCACGTTTTACCTGCCGCCCAACACTGCGTATGATTGATTTTTATTGATTTAAATGTGCGTGAGAGAGTGTCTGTGTGTTGTGTGTCTGATGCTGAGTTGTGTCTGTCTCAGTGCGTTGTGTCTGCGTTTGCGAGCGCCTTTTGATCGACAACTTAATTGAAAAAGTTAATGTGCGTGTGCGGAGAAAACGAAATTTGTCCATTGGATTTGGGCACGTTTCGGTCTTTGGTTTTTTTTTTTTTTTGAGGCGCCCCTAATGCAATTTGTCATTAACTCCCCGGGCGGGTGCACACACAGTAAAAAAGTTTACCATTAAATTTTAGCACATTTGCGGCAGCATAAGCGTCAATTAATTCGTGCTGTAAAAATTAATTACGTACACACGCGGGCGATTTATAGCCTTATTAATGCCATCCATCCCATGGCGGCCTTCCTTTCGTGTATTGCGTATACGCCACGTGGCCGCTTTGGAGCGGCAAATGCAAGACGACACTTAGTAGCATCCTCACCATCGCTTTCATTACAAATTCAATTTCCGCCCCGGCCGCCAGGTCCAAGTTTACCCTGATCATCGTCCTGCCATCCTTCTGGGATGGTCGCCGGCCGCCCTTTAAACTCATTTAAATATTGTTTACGCCGTGACAACGACAACCAAAGGCGGCCGAAACTAAGTGGCTTAATCTGCCAAACGGCGAGAGCCGCCAAAGAAATATGAAAACATTTCGCGCCTAAGTAGCTTAGGCCAACGCCCCGGCAGTTCCTCCAAGTGTTTTTGTTTTCATTTCTCGCCCCGCGCTATTGGCCATCATTGTTGGTTTAAGTTTCACGCGCATTGCCTTTTCGGGGCCAGCCATCAAATCGAAAGCAGAAATTTATAGCGTATATATATTCGGTTAACATTAGTGCTGGCAGAAGTGAGACTTATTTGTCGAAGAACTTTTGGTAGGAAAGAAGCCAAAAAATAAATATTTTAAGGTAGTAAATTAAAGAACATGAATAATAAAGTCTAAATAATGTAAAATAATTAGACAACTTTAAAATATGTTATTAAATTTATGTTCTTTTGGTTTAAATAATTTGTTTATTTGAGGTTATGTCATTTTATTATACCCTTGCAGGGTATTATAATTTCAGTCAGAAGTTTGCAACGCAGTGAAGGAGACGTTTCCGACCCTATAAAGTATATATATTCTTAATCAGCATCAACAGGGGAATCTTTCTAGATATGTCAGGAAGAAATCAATTTTTTGGCCATTTTTGCAAAATTTTATAAGGGGTTACATCATTAAAATTTTTAATTTTGATACAAAATTGAATTTTCAAAATTTTTAAATAAAGTATGCAGATTTATTAACTATAGAAAATCTTGCACAGAACAGTTTTCCGATTTAAAATTAATGCTCTTTTGGCAGAGTTATGGTATTTTTAATTTTAAAAATATTAAGAAGTTTTTTAATATAACAAATCAGATTTTATAATACAAAATAATATTTTTCTAAGTCAAGGAATCATTTCCGACCCCATAAACCACATATATTCTTGATCAGCATTAACATGCAAATCTTTCTAGACATGTCCGGAAGAAATCGATTTTTTGGTCATTTTTGCGAAATTTGATAAGGGGTTACATCATTCAAATTAGCAAAAATGACCAAAAATTTTGATTTCTTAAAATTTTAAATTTGGTATGCAGTTTTTTCTAATTAATAAAAACTAACACAAAACTGCTTTCCGAATCGAAATTAATGAATTTTTGGCTTAGTTATGATATATTTTAATTGTTACCTGCAAGGGTATACAAACTTTGGCTGGCCAAAGTTAGCTTTCTTTCTTGTTTAATATACCAATATTTTTTATAATTATTATTTCCATCCTGTAAAAGGCCAAACTGTCATCTCTGGTGTAAATATCTCCGGTCAGGCCACTGCTTTGCTTTGGAAGCTCTCGCGTGTAAATATTATTATTTAATATGCCAATCGCTGGGCCAGTCCCCGCCCACGTGGCAGGTCCGTAACAAACCGAGAGAAAGTGGGAAAAAAAAGGGAAAATATTCTCCCATTCGGAATCCTCAAAGCGTGGAATTTACGCGCCACTGACACGCTCTCTAACTCTGGCTGCTCCCATATTCCGAGTCCCCGAATTCCCACAGGTCCTCCTCACATGACTCTCGCTTTTTATGGCAAGGCATTAAATCGCTTTATTATGAACTACTTGTTGACTTTTGGCAGCTGAAACTTTAAGATGGCTCAGTTGCGTGGCAATGCCAGACCGCAAAAGTGCGTAAAATCCATAATCAATCAGTTAATTCCAGCCTGACTTTTCGTGCGGTTTGAGTTGGAATTCCTAATCAGTTCTTTTAGGAGCTGAACGATGAGCCTGCCCGCATTTAATTGCGGTTTCCGTTTGCGTCTTTAAGCCGGCAGCTGAGTCTGACGTCCCCCACAAAAGTTGTGGAAGGAACATGCAACTGGAGAAGGCAGACCATTGTGGTAAAAATTATAGAGCAATAATAATTATTATTATTATCAATAAAAAATGATTGCTCAATAAAATTTAAGTCTAAGAAGACTATTTTGGCCTGAATTGCGCACTTTATGCTACCTAAAGTCCACTGTCAAACTTTCAAGATAGAAAATTTTTAAACTTTAGAAGAACTCAAGTGCTATTATTTTCACCACAACTGTTTGTGTGCACGTTATGCGCCCACTGAAACCCATATACACACATGTATATGCACTCAAACTAACCGACATTAGCGCATTTTCCTGGCAGGCACTTAGCCAAAGAGCGAATTGCAGCAGAAACTCATCCAATTTGGCCTTGCTCCAGTGAGGTGAGAATGGAATCTTGGCCTAATGTGTGCCGTATTTGGCTTAAATATGCCAGCTAAATGCTTGGAGCTATTCAAGCAGAGTATAGAGTATACCAAAGTCACCTCAGAGAACGATGAGTTGCATTGGG